CTTCTTTCTCTCTCTCTGTTATATATATATATATATACGCATCCCCCTCACACTTATCCCTAACCCCGTGACGCATTTCTGCTGTTGGCATATGTGCGACTGCTTCTGGTGTTGCGTTGCGTTTAAAGAGGGAGAATAATTGTGAAGGGCACGCACGGGGAGAGAGACGAGAAAACAAAAAGAGGTAGCGAAAAAAAGCCGCGCAGAGCGCTCGTGATTTAGGGCACGATGATGCGTGGCTTTCCTTCGATTGCCGTTAATTCCCGGTATTGGGGTGTTTGCCCCCCTTTTCCCTGCCTTTTTGCGGTGCTAAATCCTTTTGTTTTTGTTCCTTTTTGTTTTTGTTTCTGTGTTTGTGTTTTCATTTCACACTTCTCGCCCCCTTCACTTGTGGGTTTTTTCTTTTATTTATATATATGTTTATATGTATATATATATACTTGTCTGTGCGTGTGGCGTTTGTTTTACTGGCGTCATTTGTGGCCTGCGTGGGGGGTTTTCTCAGCGGCCGCGAAGCGTGCGGCGGGCCGCCTGTGCGACGCGATGGGCGTCGTGGCGGGGAGGGAGCCGCTGGGGGGACGACGGCCACGCGTGTGTCTCGATGAGGGCCGCGTGGGAGGGGGGACGAAAAGAAAAATATATGCTCGTTCTCTTTCTTTCCTTTTTTTTTGCGTATTGTTTCTTTGGGGCGGGGGGCGGCGGGGTAAACGCGCGTCCGAGACGACGACGGCGGCGGGGGCGGAAACAACTCCGGGCTCGCCGGCGACACGACGAGTTGGTGGGGCGCGGTCCCCGGCGTCTGCCTCGTTTCCTGCGGGCGGGTGCGTCCCACGGTGTATATATATATATATATATTTGTAATTTGTATGATCGCTGCTTGAGGTGTTCGCCGGGGCGACTTCTGCTTCCCGACGCGCCTCCGCGTGCGGCTCCGCGGGGGGACGGTGTGCCTGCAAACACTGTTTCAAGGCGAGCGCCAGCCACTTCACCTCTTCTTTCCTCTTCTCTCCATGACTCGCAACCACGCACACCCACCCCTCTTAAGCGTGCAGGGTCAGTACGACGCATTTCTCTGCCTCAGTTTTCTACGGCGACGCAAGTAAATAAAAGTGGGTCGCCAACACGCAGGTGCGTGCGAAGGGGGTGGCGGCAGCTAAATATATCGGCAGCGACATAAGCCACTACCACCGCCAGTGCGTCGCGGACCACCGTGGACTCCCTGTACATTGCACAGGGGCGCAGGGGGAAAAAGGGGCGCGGGTGGTGCACGCGACGAAGCACAGCCAAGGATAAAAGGACGGTTCATCGAATACGCGACACGTGACGCGGGAAGGCAGGGGAAGGGCACGACAATGCTGCCGTTGTCCTTGACTCGCCAGGCTGATCCGCCAGCGGTCGGCGAACGAGGCACGGAAGAGGAGTTAGTGCCACGCAGAGTGGTAACGCTTCACCTGCAACCCGCACCAGCGGAGCACGGAGGGCGTCTGAGGCGTCGTGTTTCATGGGTGAGGGACGTACGGGAACATACTAACCAGCGCGTAAGTAAAAGTTGCTGCGTCTTTCATAAGAAGAAACTTTTCGGGGAGAGCAGCAGCAGTGACGAGAGCAGCAGCAGTGACGAGAGCAGCAGCAGCGGCAGCAGCAGCGCGTGTGCTGACGGCGGTGAAAGGCGAGGCGACGTTCATCCTCACGACTTTCACGAGGGCGAGGATGGAGATCATTCCGCCTGCAGGCACAGCGATGATGGCCAGCACCACCGCCGCCGCCGCCACCACCACCGGAAGCATCCTCCCTGCACAAAGGAGCATTGCTACTGCGGGACACGGTTTCATTAAGCACCTGTGGTTACTACAGGGCGGAAGGAAAACAGCAAACGATACACGAGATAAAAGGGAAAATAACACCTTGTGTGGGGGTGCCGCTCCCGCGCAAAAGATGTTTACTGGGATTTGTAGTAAGTTTTCTGCCACTGCTCTTGTTGTTGAGTGAGAATGACAGAAAAACGAACATGCAGTGGGAGGAAGGGAGCAAAATACAACGTCACCGCGCAGCTATGAACCCTTTTTCTGTTTGTGTTTATATATATGTATACATATATACGGATATATATGCGCGCATTTGGACCCCCGTCGTTACACGGATCATTGGGGGCAGTGTGCCTCAGTTACCGCTGGCTCGCGCCCGGCGCTGATTCCTCTCTCCCCCTCCTCTTTTCCATTGGAGTTATTCCGTAATAATTTTATCGCTCCTCATCTTTTACTTTTTATTTTTTTTTTGCTTAATTTCCCTCACTTCCCCCCTACCTGCGTCGAAAACGCATTAATATTTTTATGCATCTTCCCCCGGGGGAGGGTTGTGCAGGGTGCGTCCCGACGGGCGGTGCCTCGCGATGCCCGGGGAACTGGGGCCAAGCGCGTCTCCGCGGGCGCCGTGGAGTTCACCGCCGGTGCCGTCGTCCGCCTCGCCGCCGCCTCACCCCACGAGGGGCGACACACCGTCGCCCGCAACGGGGGCGTCCGCCGCTGGCGGACGACAGCACTCCAGCATTGCCGAGTTCATGCAAAGCCCAATGCTTGTCATTCCAAACCTGGACGTGATGAAAGTGGCAGGAACGCCTCCGCCCCCACGCGAGGATACGAGTTTGTTGCAGGATTTGCAGGAACTGCGGCGTCGCGTGGGCATGGCGCAGGAGGAGGTGTACGCGCAGCGGCGCGCGGTGGCGGAGCTGGAGGCCCAGGTCCGCTCTGGGAAGACGAAGGTGCTAACGCAGCTGTATTCGGATTTATCGACGCCGCCGCCGCATGCGGTGGGCAAAGATGCGCCTGGGGGCAATGCGGAGGTGGTAGACGGCCTGCTTGTGTCTGTGCAGGAGCAACTTCTCTGCCAGGTACGCAAGTTAGAGGAGGAGACGGCTATGTGCCGGCTAAATAACTCTGCGAAGGAGGAAGCACTCCGTGCCCTCTACGCCGGGATTCTCATGGAGGAAAAAAACCAGGAGGAGCGTGGTAGAGAACTCCGGGCAGAGGAGACGGTGTGCAATACGCTGCGGCTTAAGTTGCAGGAGGCCCAGCGGCGTGTGTGGGACTACCGACGGCGTGAGTTGTTTGTTTCCGCCGCCGAGAGGAAGTATTTGGAGCAGATGGAGAGCATTCACAGTCTGCGCGCGGAGGTGCGGGAGTGCGGGTTGCGCCTTCCAGTGCTTGAGGTAGATGGCGACGTGACCGGGGCTGCCATTCCGACGTGTAACCGATTTCGTTGGGAGCAGCACTGCGCTAGAAGACTGCGTGCAGTGAAGCGGCCACCGTCGCTGGAAACGGAGGGAGTTTGCTTCGGCAGTAAACCCATGGAGAGGGGCGTGGGCAAAGGGGAGGAGGAGGATGAGGACGACCCGAACGCCACTGTGTCGCGGGTCTTTGCCTTCCCTCCGGGCACCCTGAGGTCGCTACACCAGGCGATGTGCAGGGACGCAGGCGAAGGTGCGGCCGGGTGCGGTGGGCACCTCCATTGCAGCGTAAGAAGCGCCGCTGCGGCGGAGCGGGAGGGCGGGAGCCGCGGTTTGCGCCAGCGCGCGCGGGCGCTTGGCCTCAGCTTGCAGTACCAGCAGCACCTGGAGGCCAATCCGTACCTCTCCCGTTCCTCTGCAGGGGGAGGCGGGGTCGAAAGCGAAAAAGGAGCCAGCGCTGCGTCAAATGGGATGGAGATGGTTATTCGCGGTCAACGGCGGGCCGTCGATCAGTTCCAGCGGGAACTTGAGTCCGCCGTGGCGGCGTTGCAGTCGTCTGACGGGGCAGATGTGTATTTTCGCGACTTCACCTCGCCAGATGCGGAGAGACTTGGCGGCCGCGCCGACACCACGCATGTCGGCGGGGCAGCTTCAGTTCCACGCTGCCAGCGCCGTGATGGCCGTCCGGTGACGCCGTGGAGGGCGGCAGCAGAGTTGGCGCAGCTCAACGCCGCAGCTCCGTCGCCGCGCCGGGGGAAGGATACCGGCGAGGCTGCGGATTGCGCGGGCGGATTATCGTCATTGTGCGAAGCGGAGGGCGCATTCCGTCGTGTGTAGAGCAGGGTGAAAGCAGAGAGAGAGAGAAGGGCGGATGTGTGTGCGAAAAAAAAACGGGGAGGGGAAGGTAGCTGTATATTGAAATAACACCAAAGCAGCGTGGCAAAAAAAAAGCAAATGGACGAAAGAGGATACAGATGGTGTGTGAGTCAAAGTACAAATTTCCCGTGCTTCTTATTTTGGCCTTATCCTGGGGCGTTGTGTGACATCGCTGGGAATCGTCTGTAACAGACACACACACACACACACACACACCACATACGCGTCTCTTCTTTCTTATGCGTTTTCCTACACGTGGGATGAGGCCGTAGCTGTATTTTTATTCGTAGTGTGCTATTGCTGCATTTTAAGTGCTTTCCCCATCCATTCAAACCTTTGAGCGTGAATGCGGGACGCTCTGTTATTATTCTCTCTCTTTTTTTTTCATTTCCTCTCTCTCTTCTTGCTGCTGCTGTAAGTTTGACAGAATACACCGTTATTCCTTTGCCGCTACAAGGGCGCGAGCAGAGGCGTGGCTGGAATGGAAGCAGGCGCCTCTCCCGTTGCCTCCACGCCCCGGCTGATCGCTGCATCCCTGCTGCTCGGGGTCGCCGTGGGCGCCACCGCCACCTTCGCATACTTCGCCAGGAAGAACGGGCCGGAGGACGCGCGGCGGCGCGGCTGCGCGCTGCACGCGGGGTCTACGTCTTTGTTTTCCCTTGGCGATGGGGGGGCCGCGGCCACGTTCTCCGGGCGGAGGCGCTCACAGCAGGACGACGCGTGTGGTGGGCAGAGGCGGCGCACGTCGCGACGCTCAAACTCGGGGGTCGAGCTGCCGCCCGGTTTGGTTTCGTTGCGGTCGCTGGCGGCGCGGCGGCTGGGCCAGGACGGCTCCCGCGCCAGCTCCATTAACCTCATCCTGAAGTCCTGCCTGGGGGCGGAGGGCCTGTGCGACGACCCGCTCGGGGGGAGCGGCCCGGCGGCGGCGGCGGCGGCGGCGGAGGAGGAACGAGGGGGCGAGGCGGCGGCGGGGGACGACAGCCGCGAGCTCCCACAGCGCGGCAGCGAGAGTGCGGGGAAGACGGAGCGGTACGCACCTTCCTCGTCTCTCGGCCCAATGGACGATGACGCAAGCAGCGTCAGCACCTTGGACGGCCTCTTTGACGACGGCGCGGTGTCGCAGAGCGACGATGAGGTACGCGGGCGGGAGAGGGGAGCTAACAGCAACCCCGGCAACAGCAGCAAGAATAATAATAGTAGCGCACTGGCGCCGCCGCAAAAGCAATCCACCTTAACCTCGACGCAGCAGGCAGGTCGATCCATGTCGGTGGAGGACGGTTCAGATAGGCAGGCCCACAGTGGCGTGGATTCCTCTGACGCCAATGTGCAGCTCCGCTCCTTATCCCAGAGCGACGCCGTTTTCTCAAAACGACACTTTTACCATAGCTACAGTGGCGCGATTATTACACGACTTCCCTCTGTGGCTTCGGTTCGGTGTCGTTCAATACTGCAGCATCTACAGGGCACCTCCTCGTCGCACAAGGAGGAAAGCGCCGAGGAGGAGGGCAGTAGATCACACTTGACGCACTCCATTCCCTCCACCATGAGTCTGCTGGATGACCCCATCTATCGCGTGGTTATCACGGGTGGACCGTGTAGTGGAAAGACCTCCTGCCTCTCGTACCTTCGCCGGGTGTTTGAAAAGCTTAACTTTAATGTATTTTGTGTCCCAGAGGTGGCAACCTTGTTGCATGCTGGGGGTGTAAACCTGATACTTAACACCCAAGAGGAGCGTATTAGGCAGCAGCGTGTTATTCTGCAGATGATGATGATGCTGGAGGATGCCTTTTACGAGTTGGCGTCGATGCGTTCTCGGCCATCGCTGATCCTCTATGACCGTGGCACCATGGACGGTAGCGCGTACTGCTCGGAGGAAGAGTGGAATGCAATTCTGAAGATCACTGGATATAGTAACGAGGAGTTAAGCGATGCTCGCTATGACGCGGTGGTCCACTTGGTGACGGCGGCCATCGGTGCAGAGGAATTCTACACGCTTGCAAACAACGCGGCTCGTTTCGAGGGGATAGCTGAGGCACGACGCCAGGACGGCTTGACGTTGAATGCATGGCGCGGCCACTACCTCGTCTCTGTGGTGCATAACGAGGACACCGATTTTGAGAAGAAAATGATGCGTGTGGCGGAGTTCATTGGCTGTGTGACGGGCATTCCCACGGTGGAAGGCATCACGGCGGTGTCTGCGTCCTCCACTACCACCAGCGCCACCGCCACTGCGGCCTCGTCCAGGGCGACGACGGTCCCAACCGCCAAACCGGCGGCGCCACCGCAGCCGTCACTGCCATCGCCTCTGCCGCCTCCGCCGCCTCCGCCACCCACGTCAGTGGGGTCGTCTCCAGAGCGCAAAGGGGAAGAGGAGAAGGGGTGTGAGGAGGAGGGGGTTGCACATATGGCGTTTTTGGCGACAGGAACACGCGCCTTTGCAAGCGGCGCGTCTCTGGCGGGCGTCTCTGCACACTCGCTCCGTCATGCTAATTCCACGGGCTCTCTACATTCTCCGACGGAGGAGCTGCTTTGCTCGGCGGGTGTGGCGCCGGAGCGCACGCCGTTGTCCTCCTCACAGGGCCCTACACTCGCGTTCGACGCACATGCCGAGCGTGGCAGTTTGCAGCGCCACTTTTTTGTGAATCGCGTGGATTTTGCCCAAATTCCCGCGGATGCAGTGACGGCCTCCGTCGTCACGATAACCCTGGTCCCGCTCCGAGCGGAGTACCGCACCGAGGTGGTCATCCGCCTGGCCCGCGCCAACGACCTCCACCCGCTGTACCTCCGTCGCGTGGAGTACAACCACCCCGAGCGAAACTCGCCGTCCCTGCCCGACGGGAATCAGGAGCTGAAGAGTCCCTGCCGCAGCCGCCACGTGGCGCGGGTGCAGATTACAAAAGCCTCCTTTTTGAACCTCGCACGGCGGCGAGACCCGTCACAGCCTGTGATTCAAAAGACCACAAAGCGTTTTTTCTTCAACATGCGACACTTTACTCTTGTGACCTTTCAGCATCCAAAGGAGCTGCGAGGGGTTTGTCGGCTGGTGGCCCCTGCTGACACGACGGAGGAGGACATCGGCGGCTTGGCGGAGGTCGAACCTTTCTCACTCCTCATGAGAGAAGGTGTCATGTAAATAACATCTCAAGCGAGTAGGGGTACGCAGGTGCGCCGACAAGAAGGCAAGCAGGTGAAGCCAACTCCATGAATGTGTGTAGCATGATACCAGTCTACATATATATATATATATATATATATATAGACTGGTATTTATATATGTATACTCTCCGAGTATGTAACTGAATACCAGAACGAGTTTAGTTTATGCGCAACTAAAAAGAAAATGTGTAGTGAGTGGGGCGACGCCAGATACCTGTTGAGCAATAAGGATAATGGAACAGTGTTTCTCACACGGGTCGCTTAATAACAATAATTATCATTATCATTATCATTATTTAGCTTGCTGCTGTTGGGCTTTTTTTTTTGTTTGTCTGTCTGTTTTTGCTTTTCTTTTTCCTTCCTTCTCCCATTGTCTTTTCTTTTTTCTATACGAAATTATTGGCACCCTCCTTCCTTTTTTTTTCTTCTACGTCTTTCCTTCTCTTCATTTTGCTGTTTGCTGCGACAGCCTTAAAATGGGACCACGGCGGTTTGCTGATGTACACGCCTTCTTTTTTTTTTTCTTCATTTCTTCTTCTTCTTCTTCGCGTAAGTGAGACCCCGTCGCTGAAGCAGCTTGAATGCCTCCTTTTTTTTTGTTTGTTATTGTTGTTGTTTTTTTCCTTCCCCTCTTCTGTGGTTCGGCGCCTGGGCTGCCGCAGTTGCCACGCGTGTGCAATGGGAACGCCTTCGTGTACATTTTTCTATCCCTGCGTTTATGTGTACGTGCGACTGTATTGATTTGTTTGTTTGTTTGTGTTTTTGCCTTTTTTTTTCTTCTCTTCCGTCTGTACGGCGATTAGCCTGGAGGGACGGCATCCCCCACCCGGCTGGCTGCCACGAGACGGGGGGTTGCATCGAACTTCACCTGCCTGCGATGGGCACGGGGACGACGTCCTTTCCGCCGTGTCCCGCAGAACCCATTGAACTTCACCCGTTTCTTTCCTTTTCCCTGGCGGTAGGGAACGCACGCATACAAGCACAGGCGTTGTAGAGATATATATATCTTGCCGGTGCGGGCTGTAGGGTTCCTTCCGGAGCGCGTTGCAATGTCTCGAACTGTTTTGCGCGCCGGCTGCTCCACGGCGGGGGCCGCAATTCGAGGAGTAGTGCGTGTCTGTGGGGTGGGCGGGGAGTGGGCGGTAACGTTTGGCGCCGCGCGCTGCGCCTCCTCGACGCACGCAGTGTCCGGGGAGGAGCTCCGCGCCGCTTTGCGCGTCCTCGCCCTCCCTGACAGCGCGACAGACGACGAGATCAAGGCTCGCTTTCAGCAACTCGCCAAGACGAGCCACCCCGACGTCCTCCACAGTGACAACCCTCACAAGTGTAGTGGTGATGCCGACCCAACGCGTGGCGGTGGCGGTGGCAACGCGAACGTGTCACGGGATGAATCATCTGCCGCGGAAAACATGCGGCGCGGGGTGGAGGCGTATCAGTTGCTGCGGCGGTACAGCAGCGCGGAGCGGCGCATGATTTTGGCCGCCTCCCGTGTCGATGGTGATGCACAGCAGCGTGCACAGCGGGCATACGAGGGCCGACGTCGAGAGCAACGTCAGGAAACGCAGGGCATGGACCGTGGCGCGCAGTCCGGCCGAGGCCGAAGTAAAACGGCAGAGTTTAATACTTTTAGAGCGCGCATGGAGAGGATGCGGGCGGAGGCCCCGCCTTGGAATCTGACAGACCGACGGCGGAGGGGCACTAGGCATGCGCTCTCCTTCATGTTTGGACCACAGGGTCACTCGGCGCAGGCGGCGATGGAACACATCTTTCGTGAGTATCAACGCACAGGGGGCCTGGGGGATGGGGCGGCCGGCAACACCCGCTTCCCCCAGTACCCTTCCGGCAGCTTCGCGTCGACGTCGGCCGCATTCGCCCCGGAGTCGGAAGCGCGCTACATGCAAATGAGGAAGCGGGCCCAGCAGGCCGCCGTTGTGGATGCCGCTGTGGGCCAACGGCTTGTGCTGGGGATCTTTGCTTTCGCCCTGTTTGCCGTCGCGTGTATGGTGTACGCAACCGTCTCACGGCGGCGGGCGGCGCAGTGGAACTATTACGCGACAGAATCCCCGGCCACATATGTAGTCTCGAAGGGCGTGGGTGGGGAGGGCAACGGGGCGGATGGGGACCAAAAGCAGGCGCCGGAAAAATAGTGCCCTGAACATGTCGCCGGCGGTGCAACGACGGCCAGCACAAGAGCCCACTGCAGATAGTGGGGTGTTTCTGCACGAGGGCAGCAGTGAGGCTGGGGGACGTGCGTGCGTTTTGTTGAGTTTAGCAAAATGAATGAAAAAAGGAAAGGGAAGAGTAATAAAAGAAAAAAAAAAGGTGCTGCCGTGGACGCACGATACTGCGGAGAACACCGACGCACCCTCGCCCAACTCCTCTTTTTTTCATTTTTATTTTGTTACATTGTATTGGAGTGTTTCTGATGTCATTTTGTTTTTGTTTTTTCTCCCAAGCGCTCCTTTTGTGATTGCCTTTCCAGCGGCAACAAGAGACAAAAAAAAAAAATGCGGGGCGTTGAGATGGAGAGAAAGGAGGTTGCCAGAAAGAGCCCACAGTGGCCGCACTTACTTGTTGCATCCACGCAAGCCGCCTGTGCCAGGGCAGGGCCGTAGTACGAGACACATGTTTGCGCTCTTTCTTTCCTTCCTTCCTTCTTTCCCGTCCTCCTTTGCGCCGTCAGTGTCGTGCCGTGCCGTGTGTGTGTGTGTGCAGCGAGGGCCGATATATATATATATATATAAGTAAATATATATTTATATATATCTCAACATATTTTGCATTGCACACAGTACTTTGTCTTTGTGGGCCACAGTAGGAGGAGAGGCTTGGTGGAAACTGCGCTGTAGGAGCCTAATTCGCGTCCCGGGAATAGGAGCGGCGTAAAGAGGGCAAACACGTGTTTTCCATTGGCATCGCATATCCGCAATAGTTCCCACACATCGCCCTCTATCCCTCTCTCCCTCACGCACACACATACGTAGGCAGCGTATATACACACATATATATATATATAGTGCTTGGGGGCAAATTGCGTTGTTGTTGTTGTTGTTTTTTTTGTATGCCGTTGTTGCCCGAAATGAGCGCCGACGTGAGAGTCAACACGGGCGCGGGCGGGTGGGCGGCGGACCCCGCCCTGGATGCGTCCGCCCTCTCCACGGCACGCGCCGGCGACGACGCCACGACCGCCATCGCCGCAGATGAAGCACGGAAGAAGGTGGCCGACGCCGACGAGCCGGAGTCACTCCTGCTTAAGCTAATCGGGGGCCCAGTCCGCCCCTTTAGCGAGTGGCATTGGCGTGAGGCGAAGTATTTTAAGGAGCTGCGAGAGGCAAAGGAGGCAAAGGAGTCCCCGACGACGCCCGGCCCGGCAACAGACGGCGCGCCGCAGCTTCAGCCGCCTTCCACGTGCACATCCGATTGCAAGGCCTCGTCGGTATGCTGCGAAGACCTTCATCGTGCCTTTTCGCAGACTGACCCGTTGTCTCCCGCGAGCGCGGCTCTGCAGGTGCTGACCCCCCTGCTCGACAACTACACCACCCCCATCACGCATCAGGGGCCCGAGTACTTTAACAGTGCCTCCCAAGCAAGTGAGGCGTCGCTCTGCATCATCATGGTGGGGCTCCCTGCGCGGGGGAAAACATTTTTGGCGCAGAAAATCTGTAGACTTCTGGGGTGGCACGGCTGCCGAGCAAAAGTGTTGAATATTCAGGTGGCATGGCGACGTCTGCTAATGGAGTACAACAAGTGCCGTCAGTATTTAGACGCCTCCACCGGGGTGTCGTCTGATTGCCCCGCGTCTCCCTTCAGAAGTGCCCTGTCTAATCCAGGGTGCCCTCTGGAACAATTGCAGAGCTCAGAAACTTGCGACATGGCAAAAGACACAGCAATAAACGCGGAGCAAATAAAAACGGCCGACACCGCGGCCTCGGTATCGCCTGGGCTTCCCTTACCGTCAGCTGAGGCGTCACAGCCGACGGGGTACGTCTGCGCGGAGCACTTTCGGGCACTCATTTCTGACCCGGATAGCGTCGAACGTCGCCTCTATCGCTGCGTGCTTGAGCGGTACGCCGTCGATGCGAAGGCGTTTTACGCGCATGGCGGGGAGGTGCTTGTCGTGAACGATGACTTCCCCACGGAGGAGCTGCGAGATGAGGCGGAGGCGCTTTTCTCGCCATTGGCTTCGCAGACTTTCTTCATGGAGGTCGTCCGGAGCCATCAGCTGAACCACAAGTTCAATGAGCTGAAGGTGAAGGACAGCTCCGAGTACCCACGTGAGGTGGCTGCGACGGAGGCGCAGCAGGACTTTGCGCGCCGTGTGGAGTACATCAACGAGGTCTACACGACGCTCACCTCGACGTGTGGTGGTCACTGGGAGTCCTCTGAGGATTTGGCGTCGTTGCCCGAGGGGTCGCACGACGATCCCGCGGGGCCGGAGAAGTGCAAACTGCGAAAGCAACGCGAGAGGGGGTACTTGAAGCTACGAAATTTGATGGATATTGAGGTCCACGGCCTGACGGGTTACACGGCGAGTCGCATCGTGTCGTATGTCATGAGCCTGACCCAGCACAAGGTGCAGCATCCCATTTTTTTTATCCGACACGGGGAGTCGCTATATAACCTTGAGGACCGCATCGGTGGGGACTCCGCGTTGAGCGCTAATGGAGAAAAGGGGGCCAATGAAATTCTGGGCTTTCTAGCCTCCCTGAAGGACTACTGCTCCGCGGAGGCCAGCAAGAAGACAGACAGGGAGCGCTGCCGCGACGCCACGGATGGGAAAAGGCGTGCTGCTAGCAATAGTGAAAGCAAGGACGGAAGTGAAGGGGGCCGGGATTACGTGGAGCTTTGGACGAGTCAGCTGCGCCGTGCGATTCAGACCGTAGAGAGCAGTGAACGGTTGCTGGGGATAAAAACAGTGCGCTGGAGTAGCCTCAACGAGATCCACGCCGGTATTTGCGAAGAACTCACTTATGCGGAGGTGCGAGAGCGGCACCCGCTGATTGATCACTTCCGCAAAGTCAACAAGTACACCTTTCGCTACCCAGGGGGGGAGAGCTATCAGGACTTAGTCTTGCGGCTGGAGCCGGTGATTATGCAGCTTGAAAATGCCGACCGCATCGTCGTCGTCGTCGCGCATCAGGCTGTTCTGCGGGCGCTGCTCTCGTACTTTGGCAGCACCTCCGCGGAAAGCTGCGTGCGGCTGGAGGTGCCGCACCGCACCGTCTGGCGCTGCACATACGACAGCAAAGGTATCGCCTCACTGGATGAGCTGAAGTTTGCTCTGCAGTGGGGCGAAGAAGGGAGTGAACCACATACACAAAAGGAAAAGTGTAAGTAGAACCAACAGAAAGAGCCGAAATGAAAGGAATAAGAAGTACCAATCTTACACTCCCTCCCCATCAAAGGCACACACACACACACACATATATATATATATATATATATATATATATATATATA